TTGAGGGACAATCTGCAGTGAACAGACAAAGGATGGTCTACAAAGCCATTTGGGAGGAGCTTCAGAACGTTGTTCACGCCGTTGATCAAATGACAACAAATACTCCTTCTGAAGTTTGAAGTTTTCTTTCTAAACACTAAAAGCATGAATATCTATTATTTGATTGGCAGACAAGGCTACTTGTTTTTATCAAAAACGAAGTTTTTGGATGTTCTTTGCTGTTTCTGTTGTGTTGATGTTCTAAGCATTTGTGTGATTCTCATGCTCATGCAACAGTTCGTTTGATCAGGTTTTGTTTGTATCTTAGCATCAGATACGTGATACACTGTCTAAATAGATTAAGGGTGTAGAGGATAAGAATAAGAAGAGATTGGGGTTTCTACAGTGTCTAAATAGATTAAGGGTGTAGAGGATAAGAATAAGAAGAGATTGAGGTTTCTGGTGATGATGAGTAAGATTCATATTCATTAGTATAGATAAATGAAATTAAATAAATTATAATACTCTGTTTCTTATTTAATTACTTTCAGTCAGTGCTCTTCCCTTGCTGTTGCTCTGTTTTTACCTCCCCTGTTTCTGTGAGATCTTTTGTTTTGGTTAATGATTTAATTTTTTAATTCATCAAACACCATAAGAAAAAACAAAAATAAAGCCACAACAGAACAAATACTTCTTCTATGGGTCCTTCACATGGTAGCATTCCTTGTCTCACACGTGAATGAGAGTTGGCTTTCTCACTCGGCTGGACCTCAGCCACATGATCTGAAGCTGACATTGCGTCCTCTAAGACATTATTGTTGTTCTTCACCTCGCCTTTCTCAGGATCGAAACTGGAAACGCTCTTCTTGCTCACAGAGACCGTGCAACAAGGCTTGAGGACACAGGAGTAAACATAAGCAAATGATAGATTTATAAACTCTTATAAATGGGTGATAAGTTCTTATACATGGTTTTATAAACACTGATAAGAGAATTATAAACACTTATAAATACCTTTATAAGGATCCACTTATGAATATTTGTAAGAATTTATATATTTTTATAAATGATTTATAAACTCTTCTAAATGAAAACTCTTATAAATTGTTTTATGAAGATTATTAAATTATTTTAATATTTTGTATAAATCCTTATAAATAGATTTATAAACCTTGTAAATAGATTTATACTCTTATAAATGAGTGATAAATTCTTGTACATGGTTTTATAAACCCTTATAAATAATTTTATAAACCCTTATAAATAGTTTTCAAAACTTTATAAAATGATTTTAAACTTTCATATTTGATTGATCAACTCTTATAAAGCCATGAACATAAACGAAAAAGATCTTATAAACCCTTACAAGATGATTTAAAGCATTGCAAAATCATTTATGAATTCTATAACTACACATACATTCATGATACATTTGGTTAGAAAATGATTTGGTAAATAATTTCAAACACTGATAAGAGAATTATAAACACTTATAAAATACCTTTATAAGGATCCACTTATGAATTTTTTTAAGAATTTATATACTTTTATAAATGATTTATAAACTCTTCTAGATGAAAACTCTTATAAATTGTTTTATGAAGATTATTAAACTCTTTTAATATTTTGTATCAATCTTTATAAATAGATTTATAAACCTTATAAATAGATTTATAAACTCTTATAAATGGGTGATAAGTTCTTGTACATGGTTTTATAAACCCTTATAAATAGTTTTATAAACCCTTATAAATAGTTTATAAATATTTATAAGTCTTTTATCAACTTCTTAAACGGTTCATACAAGGTTTTATAAACTCTTATAAACACACGTAAATAGTTTTATTAATCATTATAGATGTTTTGTTCTTGCAAACACAAATAATCCATCGTAGAATATATAGATAAAATGAAAGATGGATCAAACACAAGCTATGTCTATAACTTTCAAGTGTTATCAAATTCAGCATACTATGATTCTTATTGTAGGAAAAAATTGCAGAGAAAATAAATCTATAGAAGAGGAAAAGAAAAGGCTGATGAGCAATGCTCCTAGTGTCACAGATGCACATACAATGAAAAACTCTGCAAAAGTGACGGAGAAAACGTTGGTCAGAAGATTAAAGGAGTTCAGGTACATGTTATGTTCTCATCTGATCCAAGAAAATTGCAGGTCGAATAAATGGAGGCTGCGGCTGCTCTAACGGCTAAATCCTTATCTGAGATTAGTGCATCTGCAGTTCATTATCATCAGTTCCTATGCAACTTTTACGGAGTCTATAACCATTTAAAAAGACTTATAAAACAATTTATAATGGTTTGTATAATACTTTGTAAGGGTTTATAATTAAGGGTATGTAAATAACTTATAAGAGTTTATAAAAATAATTTATAAAGTTTATACACCATTATAAAAGATTATAAAACAATTTATAAATCCTTATAAACTTGACCACAGTTGCAAAGCTGAACAACCACACTAGCATGTAGAATCTACGGATAGTTCTTCCCTAACCACACCAGCTCTGACCAAGAACTCCTCCAAAGTCATCTCTCCCAACGTTTGTTGCCTCTGTGGAACTCCACTTGCTGCTCCAACATCTAGTTCACTCTATGTGATAAGAACTTTGTGTATCATTCTCTCTATTTCTATCTTATAATTCATTTATTGAGTCTATAGCCATTTCGCAAGGCTTATAAAATAATTTATAATGATTTGTAAAATAATTTATAAGGGTTTATAAGGATATGTAAATAATTTGTAAGAGTTTATAAAATTTTTTTATAAAGTTTATACACATTATAAGGTTAATAAGAACCTATAAGAGTTTATAAGCCATTTATAAAGGTTTATAAGGGTTTTTAAATGTTTATAAGGGTTTATAAGAATTTATAAAGGGTTTACAAACTATTTGTATGTGTTTATAAAGATTTTATATAGAATCTATAAGGTTTTATAAATTAGTTATAAGGTTTTATAACTTTTCTGGTGAAGGGACTTCTGTGGCCTAGTTCCATCCGTGATGCGACGACGCTGAACACTGAAACGGAGTAGACGACCTGAACAACACGTTTAAAAGAAGTAGATGGCCTGATAAGAAATTTTTCTTATCATTTTCTCATTAAAAACAATAATAAAAGGAACAAAATAACTTTTCTTTATCTTTTTGGATACGTAACGATAATAAAATGGTCAGTCAAATTTCTCCCAATCTTGAGTTACATTAGCAGAAGGAGAAGCTGGAGGAGGAGTAGTCACAAAAGCCGCCAATAACAATAACTAAAGCATTTTAATAGTGTCATCGATGCTTCACCCTACTTCTCCGGCTTTGTACATCTAAACCCTTAAATTATAAAGATTTATAAAAACTTCTAAACCCTTAAATTAGTTTATAAGCCTTTATAAATTAGTTTATAAACTCTTCTAAATTAACTTATAAACCTTTATGAATCATTTTATAAGCTTTTTATACATTAACTTAGTAATCTTATTAAATTAGTTTATAAACCTTTACAAATCAGTTTACAAACCTTATATAATGATTTTATAAACCCTTGTAAATTAGTTATAAGTTTTTATATAATGACGACTGTGAGGAAAACCCGTTTCAGGTGTTGCATGACGCAACCAATGACAATCGATTATTTATAAATGTTTTAATTCTCTTATAATTGTTTGTAAATTATATATAATTATTTAAAAAATTATTTTAGAACCTTATAAACCATTTTAGAACTTAATAAAATATATCTTATAAATTAATTATAAGGGCTAACTAAATCATTTATAAAGGTTCATAGAATCATTTATAAGGATTTAAAAAATTCATATAGGTCAATATTTCATAGCTTTATCTATAAGAGCTTATAAATATATTTTTAAAGTTTATATAAGAGTTTGATAAGGGTTTATAACAAAATTTATATGGATTTACAAAACTATTTAAAAAAAAATCAAATGCATCAGAAATATATGTGTAATTTTTAAATGATTTATAAATGTTTATAAATAATTTATAAATGTTTATAAATGATTTACAAATGTTTACAAATCCTTTATAAAAGTTTATAAATCATTTATAAGATCTAGTAAATTGATTATAAAGGTTTATATACCATTTTTAGATTTTGATAAACCATCTATAAGATTTTATAAATCATTTAAGGGTTAACTAAATTATTTATAAGGGTTAATAAAATCATTTGTATGAATTGCAAATCATATTAAAACATTACTCATAAGTCCCCTTTATTTATAAGAGTTTACAAAATATTATAAGGGTTTATAAATCAATTTATATAAGAGTTTATAAATCATTTTGTAAGAGTTTATATAATTATTTTAAGAGTTGTAAGAGTTTATAAGAAAAAATATAAGGGCATACAAAACCATTCAATTGGTTAAAATCATTTTTTAATAGCATCATGGATACATTTTCTTCATTCGTGGGGGTCTGAGATAAGGCATCCTCCTCCGGCGTGGATACATTCAGAGCCGCTTCAACCGTATGAAGCTATGGAGGCTGACAGTTCCACGGAGGAGGAAGAGGGTGTTGAGAGAAACGAGTGTGTATGGGAGATGCTTGGTGTTTTGTTCTTGGGTGCAGTGTGTGGAGCGTTGGGAGCAATGTTGGCTTTGTGTCTCTGGACAATATGTGGTGTGAGGCGGTCAGTAGTGGTGGTTCAGTACCTGGCAAATAAATATCACAAGAAAATGTTTAGCAAAGTTTATAGACTAATGCAAACAGTAAAAAAAGCTTTTACCAAATCCATGGAGTTGTTATCAAGAAACTCGAAAGCAGACAGTATCTCTCCAAGATTTCTCTTAGCTTCAACAAGAAGTTTCTGAAAAAGGGAAAAAACATAACAAGATACAGTTCATCTCCTCCAGTAAACAGAATCCGATTACAGAAGTAAAGAAGAATTGTGTTGAACATGGCAGCTGAGAAAATCTTTGCAAGCGATAAAGGCTAAATCTGATCCAAGCTCTCTACCTCTCTTAACCGCCTTGTCACAATCCTCTATACACTCTTTGTACTGAAACCAATCAACTAAACGACATTGATTATTATTCCTTAACCCTAACTGATAAAAAAGATTAATACCTTTTCCATTTGAAGATAAAACTTCAGTAC